ATATTTTCATATTTTCAGATTATCTTTTTCCTTATCTGTTTTCATAAATCGTCAATAATCTGCGAAGATGGTAGCTGTTTATTGGTGTCTTGAAGAAAATGCACGGCTTCCTATCACAAAAGGCGTATGTTTTAAAGTTGTTCCTAAAAATGCTCCAAAGATTTTTTTTATCTGTAAAAAGTATTTACATAAACAATAAACAACAAGTAACATATATATTTTTGTGTAGTTGAGTCATTTATCCCTATTATCAGCTGCCCCTTGCGACACAATTAAAAATAAGCAAGTATAGTGGGTTCATAATGCAGGTTTGTTTGAATTCTTTAATTCTCAGTCAGCAGGGCGCGCCACTTTAGCGACACACTTTCTACAAGAGCAAGAGTCGTTTCTATATAAGCCTTGTTCTATGATATAATAGTGTGGAGTCTGTGGGCCGTTTGTGTGTATGTAATAGTGTGTAGTCTGCGGACCGCGCGTCCTTAGGATGCGTTTTCCGAACTGCTCTCGCTAGAAATCGATCATCTTTTTTACCTTTCATCCATTTTCGCTGCCGAGTTTTATCAACGTTTCGCTAATTCTGGCATTATTTTACCTTTTAAGTGTACAGTTCAAAACACAATGAACGGTTTGCCTAGCAGGTTTGCCTAGCAGCTTTGCTTAGAGCTATCGACATTTGGTCTAAACTACAGCGAAAATCACCAATATTGCTTGGTGGCCAGACGAGCTTAAAGTTACTCAAGTCAGGCAACCCCCAGCGAAGTTTGTACGCGTTTTAGTGATGTTTTAATGTCGTTCCTACGATTTCCTTAGGAAGTGCCTTCCTATTTCCTACTAGCTTACCGATCTATATCATTCCGGGTTTCACATACATCTCCCACCAAATTTTCATTCACATCTTCCTGCTCGGGATTGTATCTGCTGGGGCAATTATCGCACACATCTCCAAGCCCGTCCCCATCCGAATCCAGCTGATTCCTGTTGGCGTGTCTTGGACAGTTATCTCGTTCATTTAAAATGCCTGCAATATGATTCGTTGATGAGGAAACTTCTGGAATTTTGCAGAATGAGGCGGCATACCATCATTATCCATGTCGGGATCGCAAGCGTCTCCAATATCGTCGTTATCAATGTCCGATTGGTCTGGATTGTAAACGTTTACGCAATTGTCGCAAACATCTCCGATTTTGTCTGGATTTCTTTCGGAGTCCCTTTGGTCAGCATTGGGGCGGAAAGGACAGTTATCCTAGAGAATGGAAGATTAATGAGATTTAAAAACACCTTGCAGCCGAAGGAAAAGTGCTCACATCCGATATAACATTATCACCATCTGGATCTGGATCGCAGGCATTTCCAAGTCCGTCTCCGTCGGCGTCTTCCTGTCCGGAATTAGGCAGGTCAAGGCAGTTATCCTGAAAGAATTAGGTTCACTTAAGAGGTTCGGGTTTTATCGGCAAGTAGATACAAACTTTTCTGCAGTGCTCTTCTCCACATGGCAACTGATCATCAGGCCAGCTGTCCAAGTCCGAGTCTCGCCCACAGATTTCCCCATTTCCAGCCCATCCAACTATGCACACGCAGATGTATTCTCCGGAAACTGAAAATTTCATTTTGCTCTGAACCGGCATTGTAAAGAGATTGGGAGTTATCTTATCTATAGGCTTTAGACTTTTTCCTACTTTAATTTAGGTACGACTATTTGCAATCTGTTGAACAATAAGTAAATTTGATAATAATGAAAATAAAAATGGCATAATAGAGACATGAACCGGATATATTAACATTAAGAAAACATAAAAGATTATATTTAACATAATATTATAGACTTTTTATGATATTTATGATAGATTTTTTATGCAATTAATTAAGTAGTGTAATTTTGCAAATTCCGATTTTTGATGTCTTAAATTTTACATCATTTTCAGCTCACTGACGCGAGGAATGCATCCAACTCATTGCATCCACACATTTTCGGCACCTTTAAAGCGTTTTCTGAAAGTTCACGATCTTTAACCGACGATTTCTTTCTTATTATTGACTCAAACACTTTATAAATGCATATTTGTGACCTTCTTGCGTCGAAAGGGATCCATTGAGCTCAAAAAACCCGCATGTAAAATTTTGGTTTTTGGTCGAACTTTTTCCAAGGGTTGAGGTCGATTTTTTGAAAAAATGAAAATGTTCTCAAAATGTCTTGAATTTTACATGATTTTCTGCTCACTGAAGCGAGGAATGCATCGAACTCATTGAAAAACATGGCAGAAATTTTACATCCGAAATAATAGACGATTTCTTTCTTATTATTGACTCAAACATTTTATAAATGCATATTTGTGACCTTCTTGCGTCGAAAGGAATCCATTGAGCTCAAAAAACCCGCATGTAAAATTTTGGTTTTTGGTCGAACTTTTTCCAAGGGTTGAGGTCGATTTTTTGAAAAAATGAAAATTTTCTCAAAATCTCTTGAATTTTACATGATTTTCAGCTCACTGACGCGAGAAATGCATCCAACTCATTGAAAAACATGGCAGAAATTTTAGATCCGAAATAATAAACATTTTCGGCACATTTTACGCATGCATATTTGTGACTTTCTTACGTTGAAAGGAATCGATTGAACTCAAAAAACCCGCTTGTAAAATTTTGATTTTTGGTCGAAATTTTTCCAAGGGGTCGATTTTTTGAAAAAACGTAAATTTTCTCAAAATATCTTGAATTTTACATCACTGTCCGCCTACTGACGCGATGAATGCACCCAACTCATTGAAAAACATGGCAGAAATTTTAGATCCGAAGTAATAGACATTTTCGGCACATTTTAAGCGTTTTTTCAAGGTTCACGATATTTAACCGACGATTTCTTTTTTATTATAGACTCAAACACTTTATAAATGCATATTTGTGACTTTCTTGCGTTGAAAGGAATCGATTGAACTCAAAAAACCCGCTTGTAAAATTTTGATTTTTGGTCGAAATTTTACAAGGGGTCGATTTTTTGAAAAAAATGTAAATTTTCTCAAAATATCTTAAATTTTACATCAGTTTCATTCAGCTCACGGACGTGAGGAATGCATCGAACTCATTGGAAAAGATGATAGAAGTTTCAGATCCAAAATATCTATTTCTGATCTGAATATATTCGGAGCCCATTTCGTTCCAAACTGTTGCAAATGAAAATTTTCTCATAAACAGTGAATGTGTCGAGAATACACTCTGCGAACAATCTGATGTTCTATTTTGAAAGTGAGTTAATCGCTGTAAAATTCAAAGTATTTTGTGCGGGAAATCGTCTATTCGACCTTAACCGATTGCAATTTTTCGAGATGCAGTTTTTATAGAAAATCGTTCGTTTTTCCACAAATTTCAAAATTTTCAAATCGGCCCGATATTAACAGTTACGTAGAAAATTTCCACATGCAAAAGGATGTTTTCCCAATAGAAAATCGCTCTTAAATACACAAAGAAAAGCCAGGATTCTTAGCTGATTTCAAGTTTCCAAAATACGATTTTTAAACCAAACTGCTCGTTTTAGAACGAATTTTCAATGATCCAAATCGGACCCATATTAAGAGAATTACTAATTTAACCATACTGGCCGATCTGATGCGCCATATAATTATAATAACCGCAAAATATTCACAATATGCGTGTCATTCGCGTTAGTGTTTGCCATCATACAAAGCATTTATTTTCTTCAATTATCCGAATTTGAAAGTATTATTTATTAGTGAGATTGCTTTCGCTGACTAGTTTTCGAGCAAAAAAAATATTTGTATAAATAAGTATTTATATAAATAAAAAAAAACAATAATTTGGTGGCGTTATATTGATGACGTATTCTCGTCGTATTTACAGTCATGGCGAACAAAAACTTGACGAATTTTTATCTTTTCTGAATAATAAAGAACCAACAATTAAATTCACTATTGAAAAAGAACAAAATCACCAAATTCCTTTTCTCGATATACTAATTCAGAAAAATTTAGACAATTTCGAAACNTTGGTCTATAGAAAACCTACTCATACTAACCGATATTTGAATTCCGACTCAAATCACCCGATAATGGTTAAAAAAGGTATCGTAAAAAGTCTATATGATAGAGCAAAAATAATTTGTAATCAATCTAATTTTTCCAAAGAAAAACAATTTATAAAAGAAATTCTAAATTTCAATAATTATCCAAATTCTTATATTAAAAAAATGTTTTAACGAAATTGAATTCCCACGAACAAAACAAAATCAAATTAAACCTATTACGAACCTTTTCATTCCATTTATTCCAGGACTTTCAGATCAAATTAAACGAGTAGGTAAAAAATTTAATATTACGACTATCTTCAAAACTGAAAATACAATTAGAAGTAA